TATATTACTTGTGTGGTGTAGAAGATAATTATTTAAGAATGTAATTATGTAAGAATGTTAACATTCTTGTTATAATTCTTTAGTATATTACTTGTGTGGTGTAGAAGAGAATTATTTATGTAGAGATACTGCTTGTAAACCAATGATGGTAAGATGATGTCATGGGGTAGGACTGGATAAGTCTGACTTCTTCCTACTCCATTCAAGCATGTACTAGGTATAAGCAAATTGATATTGGATTGTGTGTAAAAATGTGTGTTGTTATATCAACTGTTTTATATGCTTGAAAGAATAAATCAAATCAAATCAAATCAAAATCAATATCAAAATAATCAGAAGAGTGAATGATAGAATGGACAGTGACACTTATAATCCATTGTACAGACTCCTCAAGATCTTTTAGAGATTTTCTGAAGGTCTGATTCTATCCTGAGCAGCTATAAAAATATTGACTTTACTGTGTTACAGCCTGTCAGGTTCCTGTTTTCATGTTTCATGTTGCCCTTCAGATGTATAGTGTGTAAGTGATGAATATGCTGATTTGCTATGAGAGCCTAATAATATGTGTGTCAATCAGTGCTGGTGTTGGGCGGACTGGTGTATTCATCACCCTGAGCATCGTCTTGGAGAGGATGAGGTATGAGGGAGTGGTTGACCTCTTCCAGACCATCAAGAACCTCCGAACCCAGAGGCCAGCCATGGTGCAGACTGAGGTATGATACACTGTTGCTGTAGTGCTTGAGGAACAGAGCATAAAAAAGGCATTACAAAATGTATTTGTGTACACTGTTTACAAAGACACCTGATAAGGGCCACAGAATTTTTCATCTTTCTCTCTCCATGTTCTGCATGTACTTGACAGCAACTAAGTCACAGCAGTTATATTCAGAATGAACCATTAGGTTTGGATCAACAACTGCCCTTGCTCTACATCTTTGGACCCATGTGCAACTATCTACGGCAAACTAGGTTATCATCAGGATGGAACCACAAGCCTGACTCTGATTGAGTCTTTGGAATGGGAACCTTGGCATTATCAAGTAGAACCACCAACAAAAGAACATGAAGTTGTTAAGAAAATGTGGTGCCACAGAGGATAGGGTATGTTCAGCTTGTTTGGCAGTAATCTCTGCTAATGTGTTAACTTAGGAAACCAAATATGTGTTAGCAGCACATTCAACAGTAACAAATTGTGAACACAATAGAACAGTTTTCAAAAGCTGGGATTCACCAAATGCATATCTTGAATTAGTATCAGTGGCAGCAGACTGGCCCAAAATACAGGCCTTTGTAAGAGTATAAACTTCAGGGCTTTGAAACACCAAGCCAAAGGTCAGCCATGGGGCCATCAGTGAGCATCTGTTGGGGCTTACCTTCCCACTGTCCCACATTGTTGGCACTAGTCAGACCCTGTCGATGGTTTTACAGCTGATTTGACATGTATAATCAGTGTTGGCCTATTGGGCATAATTGGTGAGCGAAACCACTCTAAGGGGCTGTTCAGCTTAGCTAATCAATTAAAGCCCCTTTGGCCTGTCACTGTAGTATCCATGATTTCACTAGTCAGGATCATGTCTATGTGCAACATTGTGTTGAAGCTGCATGGTGACATTTTAGAGCATTTTGGGGGCAGGCTTCTGTTGAATCTGGTGGTACTTGGGCATGGTGGATTCCCAATAGGAAGCAGGAAAAATAATAGGAAGATGAGAGGTACAGGAATGTAGAAAGGAAGAGAAATGACAGAGAAGGATGGGATAGATGGGGGGGCAGGAGGGTTTTATGAGAAATGAAGACACTCTGCAAGTGAAGATGCTGATGTTGCTTCGTGACTGTTAGAGGGGAAGACATCCAGTGAATCCACGTGGCACTTGGGCATGGCAGATCCCCCAAAAGACCTTCCTAAGAAAAGACCAGATTTGGACTTTATGCACATCCTGAGGGTTGAACAGATGTACTATAATAGGCATGCAAGGTCCTTCATCCCTTGATCTTTGCAAGGTGGTCTGGTATGCCTTGCTGGCTGCTGTATTTGCTGCTCAGATCCTGAAGGGGAGCTGATGACAGGTACAGATGACATACCTGTAGAGGTGTGGAAGTGTCTAGGAGAGACAGCAGTGGAGTTTCTATCTAGTTTGTTCAACAGGATTTTAGAGAGAATGAGAAGATGCCTGAGGAATGGAGGAGAAGTGCACTAGTGCCGATCTTTAAGAACAAGGGTGATGTGCAGAGTTGTAGCAACTACAAAGGCATAAAGTTGATGAGCCACACAATGAAGCTATGGGAAAGATCAGTGGAAGCTAGGCTAAGAAACGAAGTGGATATCTATGAGCAGCAGTATGGCTTCATGCCCAGAAAGAGCACCACTGATGCAATTTTTGCTCTGAGAATGTTAATGGAGAAGTATAGAGATGGTCGGAAGGAGCTGCATTGCATCTTGGTGGATTTAGAGAAAGCGTATGACAGAGTGCCGAGAGAGGAGCTATGGTACTGTATGAGGATGTCAGGAGTGGCAGAGAAGTACATCAGAGTAGTTCAGGATATGTATGAGAGGAGTACGACAGTAGTGAGATGTGCTGTAGGTCAGACAGAGGAGTTCAAGGTGGAGGTGGGGCTACATCAAGGATCGGCTTTGAGTCCCTTCTTGTTTGCTATGGTGATGGACAGGGTGACAGATGAGGCCAGACAGGAATCTCTATGGACAATGATGTTTGCGGATGACATTGTGATCTGTAGTGAGAGCAGAGAGCAGGTGGAGGAACACCTGGAAAGGTGGAGGTCTGCTCTGGAAAGAAGAGGAATGAAAGTCAGTCGTGGTAAGACAGAATACATGTGTATGAACGAGAGGGAGGGAAGTGGAACAGTGAGGCTACAGGGGGCTGAGGTCAAGAAGGTGCAGGAGTTTAAGTATTTGGGGTCAACAGTCCAGTGTGATGGGGAGTGTAGGCAGGTTGGAGTGGGTGGAGAAAGGTGTCAGGAGTGTTGTGTGACAGAAGAGTGTCAGCAAGAATCAAAGGAAAGGTGTACAAGACAGTAGTGCGACCAGCTACTACAGAAACTGTAGCAGTGAGGAAAAGACAAGAGGCAGAGATGGAGGTAGCAGAGATGAGGATGTTGAGGTTCTCTTTAGGAGTGACCAGGATGGACAGGATTAGGAATGAGCACATCAGAGGGACATCTCAGGTCTGCTGTTTTGGGGACAAGGTCAGAGAGGCCAGATTGAGGGTACCAGCCCCAAAAGCCCCCTCTGCCTATGGAGGAGGAGCCGCTGGAGGCGAGGCATCAGTTTCAGTCAGGGAAACAAGGGAGATGCCAGCAGGAGCTGGTGAAGGAAAAAGCAGACTGCAGACTGTTTGGCAGTACAGACAGCCCAGCACCTGCTGAGCAAAAGGACAAGGTGAAGCAGAAGTAATTATATTCAGGTAACAGGGGAAGGCATGCATTAGAGACATGGTACAGAACCGCCGATGTTCATCTTCATTTCACACATTTAGTGCAGTTTCTCCTCGTTTTTGCCTCTGCTGCCTCCTTTCATTTTCCACAATTAAAAGACCAAGGGCAGAGAAAGCCTGTGTCATTTGCAACTTATCAGATATATTCTCAGTTAGAAGCAGCTATAAAAAATGTGGGTGTATTGAACAACAGTTATTTTGTTTACAGCTTATATTTCCACTGTCTAGCTCGTCTTCTCTTCTCCTTCCTAAGTGGTGAATACTGCCACTCGCTGATAGTGGGAGTTATTTCTCTCACACAGGTGCAGACGATATGTGCTAGTTGGACCTTGGCTGTTGTCTGTGTGGTTTGTTAAAGTGCCACTTTTTCAACCCGACTGGCCCAGACAAAGGTGATGTGAGGTGGCACAGCAGTCGGCCTACTACACTCCTAGTTCTTTCACATCAGCTTTGTGCACTTCTGCCCTCAGATTTTCCAGGAAACACATCCTGGCATTTCAATCCACTGCACGGGAGTAGAAAAGAAGGCTGAACATATGGGTAACAAGAAGGCCAAATGAAATTCACATCAACACAATGGATGTTTTGAAACATTATTACTTGCAAGCTCTTGAACAAAGCACTATTCTCCAGGTTAGCCAGCTTTAGGAATCAGTAAAATATCTGTATTAGGGTTTAAGGACTTTTGGTTGGCGGGCCAGCACGGTGGCGCGGTGGTTAGCACTGTTGCCGCACAGCGAGAAGGTTTTAGGTTTGAGCCCCGGCCGACCCGGGGCCTTTCTGTGCGGAGTTTGCATGTTCTCCCCGTGCTTGTGTGGGTTCTTTCCAGGTGCTCCGGCTTCCTTCCACAGTCCAAAGACATGCGGCATAGGTTGATTGGTGTCTCTAAATTGCCTGTAGGAGTGATTGTGTGTGTGAGTGGTTGTTCGTCTGTGTGTTAGCCCTGCGATGGACTGGCGACCTGTCCAGGGTGTACCCCGCCTCTCACCGGCTGGAATTGGCTCCAGCCCCCCGTGACCCTTTTTGGAACTAAGCAGTATAGAAAATGGATGGATGGATGGACTTTTGGTTGGCCACTCAATTTTATTCATTTATGTGGGATTACTGAGACTCTTTAGTCATATTGTGTAATGTAAAGTAACTGTAATGTAATTTTTATTCTATTGTTTTATTAGTTTTGTTCTATTTTTGTTTTGTAACCCTCCGTACCGACAATAGGCATGGTCGGAGGCATTATGACCTCAAGATATCCGTCCACCTAAATGTTGATCCATCCAAGTCAAAGGTCTGTCTGTTCCATTCCCATGAATATGATTGGTTGGCAGAGACATACAACAAATATAACAAAGGGCTTGTATTAACAAATAAAAATGTCAGTTATCTCTATGCTCTTGCACTATGCTCTGGTTGATGCATTGTTTCTCACAGGTTGACAATTTATATGTGGCTATAGGCTCATAATGATAGGTGAGGGCATGTGATGTGACATATGACACTAGGCTGCTGACAGAACCCAGTTTCAAAACAATGCTAATGTTGTTTTGTGTCTGCTGTATGTGTAAATAGATAACTGTTTGATCACAAGTTTACCATATCAGCTTAAAATAAGATAATGCTGTATGCCATTGTTCTGTGCCAGCTTGTCTTCATTGCCCCCAAGTGGCAAAAAAAGAATAAAGGTGCTTAAATTACAATGCATTCCACCATTGCACTTTGAGGTTTACAGAATGTTTATGCTATCAGTTTCCACAGTCCTGAAAAAGCAAACGAGTCCTGTCTGAAATATCATAATACTTTCCCACTGCTCTCACTTACAAACTGACCATAGTATTTTGTTGTTGTTTGTTTGTATTTGTTCTGTCACAAGGACCAGTACCAACTGTGTTACCGGGCTGCTCTGGAGTACCTTGGAAGCTTTGATCACTATGCAACATAACCCCACCTAGGAAGACACCGTCAAAAGAATCTGGTGTTCCTCTGAGCCATATCCACTCAGTTGAATCAGTCCCTGTGGCCTGAGGAGATATGAGGAGCACTGATGAGGAGGTGACCATAGCAGGAAATGGGGGGAATAGAAAAAAGACGAGAGGAGACAGGATGACCTCCTTCTGGATGGGTGCCATGATTCTGCCACAGATCCAACACCAAAAGTTCCCAAAACCACCTCTAAAAGACTTGTAGTCATGTCTCATTCTGATTCTTGACTGAATACTCCTTCCACTCCCATGTTTCTGCCTCCTCCTAATAGCAAAAACTATTTTTCTGCTATTTTCATTTATATTTGTCACTACTATGTTGTTATGACTATTTAGAATTTGTTTTATAATCACTCACACTGGTTATTATATTTCTTGATGTGTCTTTTTTATTTGTTTATTATCTTTATATTATTTGTATTAGCACAAAGGACGTATTTCCAACATGCTCTGAGTTATTAATACTGGAGAGCGTATACTCACAGCTGCTAATAATTTTATTTTGTACCGTAGATATGATATTCTAATGTTATCATTACTCACTTGGTCTTATTTAGGTAAAATTGTGGATTTTGATTTCTTGTCCTGACATCCAACAGAATGATGATGATGATTTCTACTAAACAGTTTGTGAAATAGTATGAAATAAACCTATGGCTATAAATGTGCACAGACTATTCACATCTGAACATCTGATAGATTGTACAGAGCTTCTCGTCTGTAACTGTTGATTGATTTTCCTCACAGCCTTAAGAGATCTGGACACCACCAACAAAAGCTGTTGGAAAGGTTGTATGCACCATAATTCTGCAGCCCCTTTAGCATGCACTCAGGTAGACTAAACACGACAACCTGTTCTTGAAAATATTTTGCAAAACGGGAGATGATGTGAAATGCAGATCATACATTCCATGCCTAAAAAAGAAAAGAAATCCATGATGACACTGAGAAACACAGTACTCCAATTTATGACAAGGTGGTTCTACTGAGAGCATTAGACCAAGTTTAAGTGCTGAACTTAAATCAAATTGTTTAGTTGCTTAACCTTGAAAGATAAGGCTAGCTTTATTGTTTATCATGTTTTATTTATGTCGGCAAATCATAGCAGGTTGAGACTCTAGTACTTGACAAATGTTCACAGTACTGAATGAACATTTTAACCGGTGCAATGGTGTGGCTCATTGATGTGTTTTGTTTTTCTTTTGAATGACATTAGTACATAAGAAGTTTAAATGTCCTGTCCCTGTTTTTGTTACAACAGCAAATGACTCCCTAAATCCAAACCCAGTTCGCTGATGTTTTTACATCCAACAGACTTCACAGCTTAATTTTAAAGCATTAACAGTCAGGCTTAGAACAAATTCATGAATTCAGAGTCCAGTTTAACAAAATCACAATAAACATATTTTCTCACTTACTCTTAACAGATATTGTTTCAGGTTATGGTTTTGGGTATCACTTAAAGTTAGCCTATCTTAAATTGTCATGTCCAACTCTAACAAATAATCTGGTATTTCATGTTTTTACTCATTTCACAAAATTTCTGGAAATTGCATTGATGCAAAAATAGCCTAGTTGTGTTCAAGCTAACTAAGTATGGACGGTGCACCATTACATCATGGACCATATATACTGCACACAACATGACTCTGGCATCATACAGGGACGTGAGTTACTGATCTCCACATAATAATGACATCTACACTTATTGCTTGCACCTTTCAGTTTGCATACATGGTTTTTCATAGACAGGACACACGTGCAGATATCCTGGATCCCCATTCATGATATATTACAGCACAAGATTTTTATCACTGTGTTTCAAACAGACAGACTTGTAACTCGGAGCAGCATCGATGTTCACTGGTGGATGTCTGTGGTTTTTATTGGATCGACTGATGTGGATTTGGATGAAGTGGGCCATAAAAAGGATGCATTTCATACACTTATGGGCTCCATCTGTTCTATACATTCTCTGTTTTCTATTTGTTCCTAAAAGGCAGAGAAAAATGTCTTGAAAACCTTGATGTTAATAAAGTTGAATAACTTGGTTTTTAATATTAAAGTGTTGTATTTCTTTCATTTCTTAGGTATGTGAAATCATGGTGTTACAGTCTTATGCAAAAGTTTAGGCACCCCTTGATAAATAACAGATTTTGGTGATTTTTTATTTGAACAGATGTTAACACAGTTTCTCTTGGAAATGGAAAAAATGCACAATATTTTCTGCAAACAGTGATGCATAGTTACTTCTTATGCCATAAATTGAACAAAAATAAAAAATAAAAACATGATTATGGCATGGTGCAAAAGTTTGGGCACCCTAAGAGTTCCAGAGTCTCAAAGTCTCTCACAAGGTATCAGACCTTAATCAGCTCGTTAGATCTGATGCACAGCAACAGCTGTCATTGGTAAATGCCAATTTCAAAGCTGTACAAATACTTTGACTCTTCAAACCTTGTGCACACACTTGTGGACACCCAGCAACCATGGGTTCCTCTAAGCAGCTGTGTAAGACCCTGAAAATGAAAGTTATTGATGCCCACAATGCAGGAGAAGGCTACAAGAAGATAGCAAAGCGTTGTCAGCTTGCAGTTTCCACAGTAAGAAATGTAATTAAGAGATGGCAGATCAGGGGAACTGTGGAGGTCAAGATGAGATCTGGAAGACCAAGAAAACTCTCGGACAGAACTGCTCGTATGCTGGTCAGAAAGACAAATCAAAACCCCCATTTGACTGCAAAAAACCTGCAGGAAGATTTAGCAGACTCAGGAGTGGTGGTGCACCGTTCCACTGTGCAGCGATGCTTGCACAGACAAGGCCTTCATGGAAGAGTCAGCAGAAGAAAACCTTATCTGCGTCCCCATCATAAAATCCAACGTCTGAAGTATGCAACAGGACATCTACAGAAGCCCGATGCGTTTTGGAAACAAGTGCTGTGGACTGATGAAGTTAAAATAGAACTCTTTGGACACAATCAGCAAAGGCATGTTTGGAGAAAAAAAGGAGCAGCATTTCATGAAAAGAACACCTTGCCAACTATTAAGCATGGGGGTGGATCTATCATGCTCTGGGGTTGTGTTGCAGCCAGTGGCACAGGAAACATTGCACGGGTGGAGGGAAGAATGGATTCCACTAAATACCAGCAAATTCTGGAAGCAAACATCACACCATCTGTAAAAAAGCTGAAGCTGAAAAGAGGATGGCTTCTACAACAGGACAATGATCCTAAACATACCTCGAAATCCACTATGGAATACCTCAAGAGACGCAGGCTGAAGGTTTTGGAATGGCCATCACAGTCCCCTGATTTAAACATCATTGAAAATTTGTGGGTAGATCTTAAAAGAGCTGTGCATGCAAGACGACCAAAGAATATTACAGAACTAGAAGCCTTTTGCAAGGAAGAATGGGAGAAGATCCCAAGTCACTCAGTGGATCTGTGGCCCTGTTTGCCACTCTGAGCATGACAGATGATATAATAAGGTAGAGCTGCATATCACAGGAGCAGTATACATTCTTTTCTCCCTTCCCACTTTTGTTGCCTGTTAAATAGTGTTTTAGATGATGGTATGCAACACTTTTTATTATATCGTAATTGCTAGAATAGATACTTTAAGTAAAGATAGCAATGCCTCACTACTTCAGCCACGACACTTGTAAGCTGCATTTTAATTTTAAAACTAGTTGAAGTGGAACTTTATGTTGGGTATTTTATAACAATGTCAGAGTTGAGTGTGTTTTGTATTTAGAATCTTCATTTGTAAAATAGCACTAATATAGAGAAGTATAAAGTAACATTAAATTGAAAATGCAAACAACTAAAAAGTGTATACTGAATAGATGTGCTTTTATTCCACAGCAGAGCTTTTCAGATGATTATTCTTTAAATTTGATGATTGTAAGGCAAGAAAAATGTTTAGAAAAACAATTTAACATAATTTTAAGAGCACTAATAATAAAGGAGATTCAGCGCCGCTACATAAGAATAATATTCTTTATAGTTGTCAAGACAGCACTGTTAAAGTACTGAAAAATATGACCATTGCCTCTCCATCGTGGAAAGGATTATATACATTTTAAAAAGATAAGGGAAAAAAACACAACCTTGATTTGTCACATAGGATAGACTATCTTCCTGTGTGATGACACAGGAAGATAAATTTTAAAGCAAATATGTTTTATATTAAATTATATTTTTGGACGACCAGTCAAAATGTATCATAACTTCAGCTGTACAATCCCAGCTTTTCAAATCTTCTGGAGACAACTGCATTCTTCCAAAAGATTTTCCCTTGATGTTTTGATGATAGTTGAGAATGCTGTCTAATATGTCTCTCTCTCTTGTTTTCAGTTTATCACCTATGTTTGCAGTGCATTACTTATTGCAGGATGCGAGATCCTATACTTCTCTATAAACAAAAGATAGTGTTTTCAAAGGTAAGCATTTTACTATAAACTGTGAAATGCAGCATTTTTAAGTGTTTAACATGACCGTTAGTAGGAATTACACAAGGCAGATATATGGCAGATCTGGTTGGCTGTCTTCATTCTCTGTATTTAACACGGGGATGATAATAACAGCAAGTTAATCTTTGTATGCAGTACACTTTGAAAATAGTTTGATAGTTTCACGATCAAAGATTTTTATTGTCAATTCACTATATGTGCAGGACATACAGAAAATGAAAATACCGTTTCTCTCTCACCTAGTATTGAATGCCATACCATTTAGAAAACTAAAAATAGAATAATAGTAGAATAAAAATAGACTAAAAGCATAATAAAACTAAGTCAAAATGATTAGGATAAAACTAAATGGTACAACCTAATAGGCTATGACTCAAACCCTGTACAATCACTCTACAGTAGTTTGAAACAAATTTTAATAATTGGAGGTCTCAATGCTAATTTAAGTTATAGTAGATATATTATTATTATATAATACCCATATAATTTAAACAGTAAAGTAATTTCTCTCAATCCCTAGTGCAGCTTCATTTCAGCAGAGCTCCATTAAATTAGCATATGAGGCATGGTCTGGAGAAGAGGGCGTTGTGATTGGCTGGACGACTACGAAAGCTCCTCCCCACCAAGCTACATGTAAACAAACACAGACTGGGCATGCGTCACTGAAATAATGGAGGACTGTCTTTTCTATTTCGACTGATGATGTCTGTATTTCTACTCTACTACCTGTGATCCGACCTAAAAATACAGCTCATCTACATCTCAGCGCGTAAGTTAATGTTTGTCACTTTAGAATCAGTTCGTTTGTAGATAAACAGGAGTAACTCTTAAGTTGTGCACAAGAAACTGGTGATCAGCAGCAACCCGTGTTTGCTATTTGGTTAGCTGAGAGCGGTGGCAGCTGTCAGATCGCTGAGTCCGCTACACGCCTAGCGGTTGCTTCTGCTTTCAAGTAATAATCCGATTTGACACTGGCGACTTGCACGGCCTGTAAATGCTGATTATTTGTCGTTTGCTTATGAATATGAGAGTGCTTTGCTTTTTGATGATTATACTTTTATTTCCTGAGACGCAGAACAAGTCTTTTTGCAGTTAGCAGTTTAGCTAGCGGTCTAGGCTAAATATTTTTCCGATGAGCGGCGCTGTCGTTGGGCCACTGTGTATAACAGGCGTGGTATTCAGCCAATCACAGACTGAGGACCAGAATCAGCCTGGATTTTGTCCAATCACAGTTACACGTCGGATTCGCAAATCTTCAGGGTTTCGCTGGTCACATCTGTAAAGCCAGAGTTGAGAGTATGCTGCTTGCTAGCTAGTAGTTGAGCATCTCGGTCGGTTAACTGTAACGTTACAAGAGGAAATTCTCATAATGTACATTAAATAACTAATGTAGTCAAACTGGACGTTTATGGCTAACGTTGTCTAGTAGCTTCCGGGGAACTTGGGTGAATGCAAAATAAAGACTGACTAAATTACTATTTTGTAATATTTCATCACCATTTTTGGGTAAAGTTGGACCAAGTCTCATGTCACCATGTTCAATAAGTTAAGGTATACATTACAATTTGCTCTGATCTAGTCAGAAACTGGCATTTTTTCCAATTTTACAAATAGAAAAGAATGTTCACAAATTTGGAGCCAGGTCTTTGAGGTCGCAACGTTAATGGTTAATTCCTTTAATGGAACCTTCGACATAACTGTTAATAGTTCACATCTGACAAGTCAATGTGGTGGTTTGTGAGTTTGGTCTAATGTGGTCTGGATGGACCAAAACAGTAAAAACGTCTCATAACAATTAAAACAAAACTTTTGCAAATCTGAAATAGAGTTTTCAACTGTCTCTAAAGTCTACTTATTATCTTTCATAATTCTGACAGGGTGTTAATCTAGTACCATTTCAATCATTTTAACTGGCATAACAACAGAGATTTTGCCAGGAAGTATTGTACCTTAATTTTCCCCTTAATTCTGGAATTTAAGAGCAACTTCAGCAGTGTCTCTGTTATGGCACAAAACTCATGCAGATTGGGTCGCAGGGTAAAAAGAGTTTAAGATACAGCTTCAAAGTGAGCCAGACACTGTTAAATGTGTAACTGTCAGACATGTAACCTCATGTTTTCATCATCAGGTGCATGTTTTCTACCGAGCAGAGCTGAGGTCAAAGTGACAGTTTCAAGATGACCAGCGACACACCGGGCCAAAGTGTAGTCTCCAGGATAATGGCATTTAATCCCTCCAAAGAGGAGTTCAAAGACTTCAGCCGGTACATTGCCTATATGGAGTCACAAGGAGCACATAAGGCTGGAATGGCAAAAGTAAGTAGGGTCTATTGTGTTTTGTCAGGTTATTATGATTTCTTCTTCTCCTTATATATAATTTATGTGTTATAGCTATACTCTTGTAGTCAGGTTAATTTTATTTTTTACAATAAGATAGGACATTATGTTTGGCTCAGTAGTTAGTAATTTAGAGGCAACAGGACAAGCAGTACAGAAAGAATAGATAGGCAACCATCAGTCAGAGCGATTATGGTGTAATAGAAAGAATGAATAGATGGAAAACTGGATGGATGGATGAACATTTGCAACTGTCTGAGACAAGCAGTTAGCCCAACACGTTACCTGAATGAAATCCCAACAGAAAAGAGTTTATTCAGAGACTCTTTGGCAAGGAAGTGACAATTTATAGTTATGCTGATTGACCAATTGACCTGTGCCCAGATCTCTCTGATCATTTACTGTACTTACTTTGCAAGTTGTCTGTAATGAGAAGCAGAGATGCAGTCAGGTCAGCTGCAGCAACAAATGGTGTTGTTGCTGGCGTGATCATAATTGTCAAAGTAACAGTGATGAAGAGTCAGGTTATAATGTCTGCATTTTACACCGAATGAAAATGATTAGCAGACATTTGCTTGGAGTATTAGTATGCTGCTAGTGCAGATTCAACAGACCCTGTAGCAACTTCATGTACATACATCTGCGTATTTTTTCAGTTCACATTGTAAATTTTGCAGAATGTGCATTGTCTATGGCATTAAATAACTTGCTTTATTCACTAGTTTCTGAGCTTTTAATGTGGAACATCTGTGCAAGATGTGTTAAGTTTCACTGGGGGTTAACTCAACTGGAATTCATTATTGGACTGTATCTAGTGTTTTTATAAATGCCTGTCAGTGCCACAGTGTCCTGTTGGACACACTGCTCTGCTGCTCTGAGGTGCTCTTCTGTAAATGTTTTCATTATGGTTTTGTTCTTCTCTTGCAGGTTATTCCACCTAAAGGCTGGAAACCTAGAAGAACATACGATGATATCGATGACCTGGTGATTCCTGCTCCCATTCAGCAGGTGGTGACTGGCCAGTCAGGACTGTTTACCCAGTATAACATCCAGAAGAAGCCAATGACTGTCCATGAGTTCCGCAAGACCTCAAATATGGACAAGTGAGTTTGCAATTGATTGATAAATGTTTTTCAGTTATTGCAGTTATGGAACAGTATGTGATTTTGAAATGACATCTCTCTGAAGACTTCACATGTTTTTCACTGAATATGACAAAACAGTATGATGTTCTCTGCAGGTTCTGCAATCCCCGATATGCAGACTTCGAGGAGCTGGAGAGGAAGTTTTGGAGAAACCTGACCTTCAACCCACCCCTTTATGGAGCTGATGTCAGTGGAACACTGTATGACCCAGTGAGTGGTTATAGATTGGACAATGCCACCAGCTACAACTTGCATCTCTTTATTGAGTTAAAGCTTTCAATCTTATGCCCTTTCTAAACAGCCTGATTTCTCCTTTTCCTGGTCAATTAAAAGTGCCGTATGTTACATCACTGTTATTGTGACTTACAGCCTCTGCTGAATCCAACCTTTGCAGGATGTAACTGAATGGAACATCAGCCATCTTAACACCATTCTGGACACTGTGGAGAATGACAGTGGGGTCAAGATCAAAGGAGTGAACACACCGTATCTCTATTTTGGCATGTGGAAGAGTGCCTTTGCATGGCACACAGAGGACATGGATCTGTACAGCATCAACTACCTGCACTTTGGAGAGGCCAAATCCTGGTACAGTCACTGACACACCCCTTACCCCATGCTGCACAGACATGTCTCACACTGTTTCTGCTTTTCAATTTGTCACTGCTGCACATGCATCTGTTCCAATAACCTACATGTAAAAATGCAATACAATTGTCAACAGACCAGCAGACAGATAGTAACTTGAATGTGAATAGTAACAAGAATGTGAGTCAGAGACTTCTTATGTGCAATAAAAGTTATGTACTGACTTTGTGAGATAAATAAAAAACCTCTGGCTGTTCCCCTTTGTTAACATGGATTCGGTGCATTTTTGGGAAACAGTGATGAGGTTTCTTATAAATATTTTTAACAACACAATTAACATCAACAGTCAGAAGCATATATATATATGTGTGTGTGTATGTACACACAGTATAATAGATTAGCACAGGAACAATGGAAATAATCAATACAATGTATTTTATTTTTGCTGAGAGTGAGCTGTCAGATCAGCATGGGCTGGCAGCTGAAATTAGAGTGATGTGAGATAAAGTTAGAATGGAAAGGGTTAAGGTTCATTGCTTGTTTTTAGTAGGCTAATGTTTTTGTAAGCTCTGAATACCCTAAGCTGTTAGCTTTGGATTGCACCACGTCGCATCAGGTTGGTGAAGACGGTGTGTCTAAAATAGATTGGTTAAATAAAATTACAACAGGATGTAGCCAGACAACCAAAAACTGTAAGTAGCTTGATATTTGAAATGCAAAAATTAACAACTACTGGCTAATAGTGAGTTTTACTTTTAAACGTGTTTAATATTTAATGCTCCACCTTGTGCAGGCTTATCGTTTGTTTTAACGTTACTTGGCTGTTTGGCTAGCTTGTTAACATTAAATGGCCACTGATGGAAATGGACATTCCGCAGGACAAAGTCAAAAGTCTTTCTGGCCAGACATGGTAGGTTTGAGGGTCAAATGTATTCTTGAGTTGTATTTGGAGATTTATTTAGTGTGTGTTTTGCAGTGTTTGGCTTTTGTCGAGTGTTTCTGTCTTTAATAATGCTTACATTTTGTTGTTAGGTCAAGTCAGATTGCTTTTTTAATAAGCTGTACAGAGTCATTTTACTTTGTTCACACCTGTGATGTAAAAGAGACTGTGGAAAGTGAGACAAGAAAATTCCAGAAAGCAAAGCCCAGACATTTCTTGTTACATACTAATAGTCATACATTGAGGGACTGAACATCTGTGTGTGTGTGTGTGTGTGTGTGTGTAATTGGGAGAGTCCAACAGCTGTCAATATGCAGTTCGTCATAAAGCATCTCTAAAGTATCATCCTAGATTAATGGATATGATTTAAAAGACACTTCTATAAAGAGGAACTAGGACATCTTTCTCCATTTGATATCGCAGCTTTATGTCATTGGAAATGTCCTGAAAAGAGCGGGACCCCTGATTGTTGTCCAACACATTTCTGCTGTCAGTTAACCTGGTGATGACCTTTTGTCCATCCGCCATCCTTCTAGCTCACCTGGAGCTGACGAGTAACAGCTGTTCTGATGTTCACATCCCGCTTTAAGCCAGACTGTGGTTGCGCTGTTGAGTGGAGACCAGCGAACTGCTGAGGACTTAATTTAGCAACCACTAAAAAAAATCTGTCACTGAAAAATAACTAGTCTATATTAATCCATAAAATTATCAAGTGTTCACTTCTCAGTTCAGAGAGGCAGATGATGAGAGAAGTGTTCAGGCAGAGCCCTGGGGGACACTGGCCCTAGCCAAACCTCTTGATCCACAGAAAACATTGCAATACCTCAGTGTGTCTGTGTATATATTGTATAAATATTTGGGTTATTAATGTGTATAATTATATTTAATGAACACAATACATGTATTAAGCAAATGAATATTCACATATATCTATAGTCTTTGTATTTAAGAAAAGCATTAGGCATGGCAATTGGACATAAATAACTTTGAGAAAACTTAAACAATGTTCATTTAAGCTAAATTAATGTTTAATACTTAAACAATGTTCATTTAAGCTAAATAATTATTATATGCTCTTACCATCACGTAGGGGTACCCTGTAGCCAAGTGGTTATGGTGTGGTGCACCATGTACGCTATATGCACAGTGTCGATGGATCGGGTCCCGACTGTCGACCTTTGCTGCAGGTCTCTCAGTCTCTTGTTTCCTGTCTGCTCTCAGCAATTTGCTGTTAAAATAAAGGCTAAAAGCCGAAAAATATAACTAAAAAGAGAAATACCTCCGTGTGTGATTTGCTTTTGCAGGATGAGCTAAATAGAAACAAAAGAATAGTTTTACCATTCTGATTTCAGACACAGAGCTTTTAACAGTAAAAGTATTTTACATTGTATAACATATTCTGGTTTTGTTCTCTTCTATTTGTTAATGAATGTGATGGTGGTCCATATTACTACAGTAATACAGTAATCCTGTGATCTTTGTGGAACTGAGAGTGTTCAACCTTTGAGGAGTTATGCTTATCAGTGGGTATTACTTACAGTTCTCCAAAACAACCTACATCTATAAACTAGCAGAACTCTCATCCAGCATAAAATGCAGTAGCTTCAGAAAATATTGAAGTACCTTCACTTTTTGCACACTTTATTGTGTTGTAGATTTCATGTTAATTGCATGGAATTGCCACTTTTATCCATCAGTCTACACTCAATAAAGTATAATGACAAAGTGAAAACATGTTTTTGGATGTTCTTCCAAATTTTTTAAAGATCATATTGAAAATTTTCTTCTACAGAAGTATTCAGTACTTTCTAGAAAACCCTTTGACAGCAGTTACAGCATTGAGCAGGTCTGAGCACCTGGATTTACCTCATTAGTCAGTCTGGTCAGATGGCTGACTCTGCTGGTGGTTCAGAACTTCTTCCATTTCACATTTACTGAGGCCATTGTGTGGCTGGGAACACTCAGAGTTTTAGTAATGGTTTTATACCCTTGCCCTGATCTGTGCCTCAACACAAAATCTTAAAAATCTGGTTCTAGGTTTTGTCCTGACATTTAAAAATGGCAATTTCTTCTTTTAACTATTGATTCTGTGTAGTTCGTGTCTTTATGTTCCTATGTTGTTTTATTTCTCGATTGATATTATTTATTCTGGTTTTTACATTGCCCATGTAAAGTACTTTGGTCAACCAGACGTTGCTTTTAAAGTGCTATATAAATAAATTTTGATTGAATTTTATTCATTCAAAATAAAATCCACAACACAATGTGCGCAAAAAGGTTATGGGTCTGAATACGTTCTGAAGCTGCTACACCTCGCAAAGATTGTTGTGTTCAGAGGAGCCCAGGTTTTCTCTGCTGCCATCATCATGTACTTTTATTGGTTCTCAGGTATGTTGTCCCACCAGAGCATGGGAAAAGACTGGAACGACTTGCAAAGGGTATGTGATGGGTTCTTGCACAGTGCCATAGACCCTTGATGGATTTTTATTTGTTACAATAAGCACTAATTGCACTGGTCTTAAATCCGCTATGAAAAAGAGTGTTTTATACTATATCTCATCGTTTGTCTCTAATTTTAACCAGTGAGTGTCAGAAGTCTTAAGGAAGTCAAAATAGCTTTCAGTGAACCTCCAAACTATTTGAAAAGTACCTCGGAGACCAGAACAGGATTAATGTGTACACATCACAGTTACAATTTAAATTAAATACATGAAGACAACCAGGGAGGGTCATCAGCACTGATGTTGTGGATTGTATTCCCAGGTTTCTTTCCAGGGAATGCTCAGAGCTGTGAAGCCTTCCTGCGTCACAAGATGACTTTAATTTCACCCTCAATCCTGAAAAAATATGGCATACCCTTTGAGAAGGTGAACATTTATTTACTTTGTATTGACTTAGTGATATTATGGAGAAAAACTGTGTGCTATAGAACAGCAAAATGCTTAACAAACAGACAGAATATAAACTTTATTACATAAGAGTAAGGATGAAAAAAGAGTAAAATGGTTTATGAGCCCTTGTAATTCTGTTGTTGTTGGTTTTATCCAGGTAACTCAGGAGGCTGGGCAGTTTATTGTGACGTTCCCATTTGCCTATCATGCTGGTTTCAACCATGGCTTCAACTGTGCTGAGTCCACAAACTTTGCCACCCAGCGATGGATTGATTACGGAAAACAGGCAACACTGGTACACAAACAGCTGTGAATATTAGTCCAGTGATTATTCACATGCAAAGGCCCCAACCCACATCTGTGTAGCGGTGTTTTGATAAAAAATTTGCTTTGCTTTTGCTCCAGAAATGCACCGCACCATCTGATTGGAAGCGCTCTGAGACCCGTCTTTTCAAATGGTCTTGGTCCTGTTGGTTAGTGCGCACCACACTTTGTTGCCAGGTTGGCAGCTTGATTTACGGGGGCATAAGAAGGAAACTTGTGGAATGTCCACATTTGAAAGGATTCGTCCACTGGGGAGTCTGAGCGCACTCAGTAAATTATAATTTAATCTCCCAATTAGATTTTAACATTATTTACGTACAAGTGAAAAATTTGATGTGATTGTTGCTTCAGAGGAGAAAAGCAAAGAATATCTGAATTACATGAGAATACTGCCAAGCCCAATGATGAATGCAGCTGTTCTCAAAGCACTGTTATTACTGCTCTGACTACCACAGTTCAAACCTGGACTAAAATGTTGATCCGTGTTTTTCCTCCCAGTGTTCGTGCCGTCAGGACATGGTGAAAATCTCCATGGATGTGTTTGTACGCAAGTTTCAGCCCGACCGTTACAAGTTATGGAAGGCAGGGAAAGACAACACTCCCATTGACCATTCCAAAACCACACCAGAGGCTGCTGAGTTTTTGAAAGAAAACAAGACTGAACCTTCAAAAGAGAGTCCAGCTGAAGCTGAATCTGAGGAGCCCATCACTCCTGTCCAGGTGGACAAAAGGTGTGGGTTTACCGTCACTTTCAATAGAATTCATCGAATTCACTGTAGACATGTACATTACAAATCACTTTGCTGAATTGAAATGTTTCATCCCGTTCAGTTGAAAGACTTGTGGTCACATGCAGTTCGTTTTAAGCTAAGACATCACATCACCATTCGAATGCATAGTTCATTGTGAAGAACCTCTCCTTTGCCCAGAATTGTTGCTTGGCTGTCACCAGTTAAGGTGAAGCATTGTCTTTCTTTGAGTTTTGGCCATGTCTTTACTAATGTCTCCATCACACCAGTCCAAAGCATCAGCTTGAAACTGCTGAAGATGTCAAACCAGAGTTGGCTGTGAAGGAGACTGAGGAGGTGGAGCAGAAGAAGGCCAAGCTGTCACGCAAGGAGTCACCAACTAAAGTTGCTGTCAAGCCAGACAAAGGTACTGTACAGTTTGAAAAAGTCTTTGATTTTAGCTGCTGAGTTTTGTGTTATGTGAAAAGTAATACATTCAGCCTGTGATAGATCATTAAACCAAAATCATTTTTAAGATAAGAACATTTTTTCCTACTCGGTCATAGCTCTGGCCGACACCAGATCTGAATAGTGAGCATCATGTAACAAGCACAGTATATTCTTATTATGATAGAAGCTTTTTATTCAAGCATGTGTGTTATTTTTCACCCTGTTCTGATCAAAATTGTTTAATATTCCAATACAATATTTATATGTATAACATATAAATAAACCAATCAATATTAACTGGTAACTGTGATAAAGGGAGGTGTACCAGCCAGTTATCAGCTGCCTCTGTAAAAACCTGAGTTTTCCAGTCTGGCTTCAAACAGGGTTATGGTAATGAAACAGATATCAAGAGCAGAGCATCTAATATGACAAAACAAAACAGATAGTACAGTTGGGTCATTAGTTCATTCAGTGACCCCTTGTGCTCTATGGATGGGGGCACTGTCATCCTCAGAATAGAAATGTTTCATCACAGGATAAGGGTGATCACTCAGAACAACTTTGTATTGATTTGCAATGATCTTTCTCTGTGAGGGGACAAACCAAGACACAATCCCCTCACACATAACAGAGCTAGATCCCCTCACTGTAGGGGTCAAGCATTCAGGTTTCTTTTTAGGTTATCATCTGTCTGTATGTAGACCATAGTAGCATGTTTTAGGCTAATTCCACAGTAGGGCTCATAGAGTGTAAGAAACTGGAGAAAGTGGCCTTTCATTAAGTCCTGTAACGGTTCAGGGCAAACTAGTATTATCAGTAGTTTCAATAATGAATACTGTTTCTGTATTAATCTTTCAGACACAGTGAAAGTCAAGCCTAAGAAGGAAAAAGAGTCCAAGCCACAGTCTAAGTCTCAGTCCAAAGCCAGCAACAAGAAAACTTCAAACAGACGAAGCCCTTCAAAAAAAGAGAAAAACGGCCTGCTGGCCGTAGACGTCTGTCCTCCCAAGCCTGCTGAGAGGCAAGTGGTGGCACTGTGTTCCGAGGAGGCAGGCGGCAATGAGGAGTCTCAGTTGGGCAGCAGCTGCAGCCCGGCACGCAAACTATTTCAGAGGACGCTGAGCCCGGCAGATGTCCTACATGTCCACAGCTATGCTAAAGGAGATTACGGAGAGGCAGAAGCCCTGCCCAAGGAGGAGAAGAAGAGTGAGGGTAGTGACAGCGAGACAGAGAAAGACAACAGGCTTGTTGGCAAAGCAGTGAGTGGATGTCACACACCTAATGCTGTACTTTGTGTCAATGGACCATAGGTGTGGCTTGTGCATGGTTTAGCCTCTCAACAATAGCATATGTTGTGTATACTTCACACTGCTGTTAACTTTGTTATCAATCACTGGTTCAGTGAGCTTTATGAATTCTGTGTGTTAAGGTTTGAGACTTGAATCAAATTTGGGTGATGACCAGTGGCGGGCCGTGCATTTGGTACCTGGGCCTTCAGTGGGGACTTACCCGACTTAATTCACCACCATCACGTCGCAATTATAGAAACCATCAATACTCTACAAAAACACAATATAATTAGCGTGGGATTACAGAGAGACAGAGATATTTCATGTATTGAGGGTGAATACCATTTTTACTAAAGCAAGAAACCCAGTTAAGACAACTCCAAACCTCTACACTACAACTGCAACTGTACATCATCTGGAGCAGTTCAGACTCTAGTATTTATCTAATAACATGACAAAAACATACAAAATTTAAATTAAATACATCATACTCACCAGAGATGCTATTGATTTATAGACAAAACCTGTCCTCCTTTCTTTGCGCAAGAAGACTTCAATGACTGTCATAGAGGTGATTTCTGCGTTTCACTTCCATCAGTAAGTCCTTTTCTAGTTTTGCTCTGACCAACCAATCAGAGGACGGGAAAATGCTGACATCATTGTGGGCCAGCTAGCTGGCCCTATGAGGTGAATTTGAAATCTGATTGGTTAAAGAAACAGTCCCATTGCTAATATAGTTTAAGTTACATTGGCCAGCACTACTGATTCTGAAGGCCCTGGGCAGATTAGATTGACATGGCAACACATACAGGCTGAAATCTGATTGGACAAAAAAATCTAACATCCACATACACGTACTGGAAGCGGTGCAGCCATGAGAAATACTACGAAATGAAGAGAACAGACTGTTGGGAATAAATTAATACAATTTCATGGAACAAATATTAGAATTTAGGTTGTAAATGTAGGTCAGTGCTTCTGATAGTGCTTAGGCCAGCAGAGCAGGCCTTGCTGGCCCTGACTGCCCACCACTGGTGCTGATACAGCAGACCTAAGTTTGAAATTTTAATATTTAATATCTCACATGGTTGGAGCACCAATATTTATTTTTGTTCCCAAGCAAATTAAAATAGTTGTATTGATGTCCTGAGGTGCCAAATTGACAAGGTTCTGTAGTGTTCCCTGCAGATGTTAGATGTTAGATGTCACTACGTTGTCCTGCTGCTGTTTCTGTTTTGTTAGATGCCCAGCATGAGACATTAATGCGAAAAGTGGTGGTATGGCAGGCTTCAGGCAGTGTAATGAATAGGTTGCACAATAGTAAATGGTCTAATACAGGGATCTCAAACTCGCGGCCCACGGGCCGATCGCAGCCCGCGGGACGATATTGTGGCCCCCCACTTGATATCAAAGTTTAATGATAGTGCGGCCCGCGCGTTTTTCTCACACGCACCTGCGTGAGTTGTTACCCTGGGCGTTTTATTTATTTTTTTCACCTGTGGGTTACCATAGCTCAGGATCGTGACAGCAAAGCAAATTAACAACTTTAGTCACTTGAAATGTGATTTGGGTGTGTCACCGAGTGGAGGGAAAATATATCCAGTCACCCAGTGCAAATATGTTTTTTTGTCACCCAGCCCCAGTCATGTCTTTCTCAAAACCTGCCGTGAAGAGAAAGGTTGGCTATGAGCACAGACAATTTCAGGAGAGGTGGGAGACGGAATATTTTTTTGTTGAGCACAGGGGCATCCCGACGTATCTTATATGCACTGAGAAAGTTGCAGTGCACAAGAAGTACAACATCAGATGTCATTACTCAACTAGACATGCTGAGGGTTATGCAAAATACCAGGGAGATGAGAGAGAGGACCGTGTCGCCAAACTTAAAACATGTCTACTGAGGCAGCAAGATTTTTTTCAAGAAAGCAAGCAAAGAGAGTGATGCAGCAGTCGAAGCCAACTACGTAGTGAGTGAGATGATTGCTAAGGCAGGAAAGCCATTTAAAGACGGCGAGTTCATCAAAAAGCGCATGTTACAGGCTGCAAGTATAGTCTGTCCAGAAAAGAAGGGTCAGTTTAGCAACATCAGCCTCTCAGCCAACACAGTGGCAGAGCGCATTTCTGACCTGTCAGGTAACATTTACGATCAACTGCGTGAGAAAGCTAAACATTTCCATGCATACTCAGTCGCTCTTGACGAGACCAGAGACGTCACTGACACTGCGCAGCTCGCAATTTATGTCCGCGGTGTTGACGACAATTTTGAAGTGATGGAGGAGTTGCTCACAGTGATTCCAATGCATGGCCAGACCACCGCTCAGGAGATATTCCGCCAGCTGTGTGATGCCATTGCAGATGCCGGCTTACTATAGAAGAGTTTTGCTGGAATAATAACTGACGGAGCACCATCAATGACAGGGAGGAGAAATGGAGTCATGGCACATATTCAAAGGAAATTGGAAGAAGAGGCTGTGGAAGAAGCCATTGCTCTGCACTGCATTATCCATCAGCAGGCCCTTTGCAGCAAATGCCTGAAGTTTGACAATGTGATGTCTGACGTTGTGAAATGTATCAACCATATCAGATCCAGGGGCTTAAAGCACCAGCAGTTCCGCGCCTTTTTAGAGGAAATAGTCAGCCATATGAGGATGTACTCTACTACACTGAAGTACGTTGACTTAGCAGGGGAAACGTCTTGCAGAGGTTTTTTGAGTTGAGAGCAGAGGTGAAAACCTTCATGGAGAAGGATGGGATGGCTGTTCCCGTACTAAGTGATCCCAAATGGCTCATGGACTTAGCTTTTCTTGTTGAATGTACTGAACAAGAAATTATGACAGTGTCAGAACATTCTCCACAAAACTTGTGTTATGGAAAGCCCAGCTTTCTCAGACAAACCTCTGCCATTTCCCAGCTTGCAAGGCACTCATGGATTCTGGCACACGATTCAGCGGTGAGAAGTATGCTGATGCCATTGTAAAGGTACAGGAAGAATTTAATCACAGGTTTGCAGATTTCAAGACACACAGAGCTACTTTTCAAATTTTTGCTGACCCCTTCTCCTTCGATGTGAAAGATGCCCCCCGTGCTTCAAATTGAGCTAATTAACCTGCAGTGCAATTCTGAACTCCCAAGTTCAGGGAAGTGAGTGGAAAAGCAGACAAGCTTGGACAATTTTTGAGAGAATTGACCCTTACCTTCCCAGAGCTTTCCAGGATGTTCAAGTTGACCATGTGCCTTTTTGGGAGCACCTATCTGTGTGGAAAGCTCTTCTCCACCATGAACTTTAATTAGTCAAAGTTCAGGAGGAAGTGCTGCCAGGTCTCTGGCAGCAAGGAGTAGGAGGAAGTAAGAGAAGCCTATGTTCTGAAGAAACGTTCATGTTCTAAAATATTATTAGTAATGATTGAGAAGATTGGATCAGTTGTACTTTTTTTTTTGGAATACTTGAAATCTTTTTTTGTGGAATACTTGATGTGGCTCAGCCTCACCCAGACTCTACTTCCAGTGGCCCCCAGGTAAGTTGAGTTTGAGACCCCTGGTCTAATACTTGTATAGCGCTTTTTTATGCAATGAAGCACACTCACAGTGGTTTTACACTATTTTTTATTCACGCACACAAACATTCACGCCGCAGCCACCAGGAACAACTTCGGGTCCAGTGTCTCAGTTGTTGGGGGACATTGTTGGCCTTTAAAGGACTGAAACACCACCGATGGGGATAAATATCTCCGGCTCAACACCAGTCGGGCAGAACTGATGAAGCCTCTTGGATGAGAGGTGAAACATCTTTGACCTAGACACCTAGTCTGGATGATTTTTCTCTAATTTTTTTTTTCCAGACACTTCAACATGTAAACTGGAGAAGCTGGAATTCGAACTATCAACCCTCAGTTTAGGAGATGACCCACTTTATCTCCTGAGTCACTGCCACCCCTGATGGTGTCAGTACATAGCCTGACAGGATAAACTAGGAACTTGGCTTGTAGCACTCACCTCCCCATGGACATTCAATATGCATTGTCACATTAGGCTGCTTCTCTTGAGTGAAGCAGCCAGCAGCTGCACATGCATTTGCAGATGCTGTGCATAGATTTGTGAGTGTGGTAGGGTCCCCTTTATTTCATATTAGCCCAAGCGTATAAATTAGTAGCAGAATGCAGATGGGGGAAGCAAAAGCAAACAATGGAACATCCTTCAAAACAAGTGTTTTTAACAGTCCTTGCTGCCTTAACAGTACAGAAACAACTTCCAAGGACAAAATAAAGATGCTGATTATTCACTATGATGGATTATGGGGTAAATGTTTCAGGTCTATACACATGCTAAATTCCCAGTACAGGCATAGATGCTGATGCTAACAGTATGTGCTTGTGTCCAGCAGGTGGTAGAAGATGCGGCTGGAGATGGAGAGCAAGACAGTGATCTGGGACAGCTGCCAGGCCACCATCCACTCATAAAGGATGGCATGAGTGATGAAGGTCTGTCACAGCAACAGTAACAACTTAATTGGGATGCTGCACCACTGTACTGTACATAAGAAGGGATGAATATGAATACCTAATATATAGAAATTCAAGGTCTCAGGTATTCCCCATCTAGCTGTATGTTAATGCTGCTGTTCTGCCCGTTTGTGCCTCAGAGACTCCAGAGGAAGCCCCTCCAGTAGAAGAGGGAGGTCTGGAAGGGGAGAGCTGGGCTAAACCTCTTGCTCACTTGTGGCAGAGCAGACCTCCAAACTTGAAAAAAGAGAGGGACTATAACCATCGCGTGGGCTCCAAACCTCCATACTGCTCCATCTGCATGCTATTTCACACATACCAGCAGGTAATCTGCAACACCGACCGGTCCTTACCACTCATCTATTATTCTAACATATGGTGCTGACACTTAACAGTGTCATACTTTTTCACTGCGGTGTGTAGGTGGTGCCCTCATCGGGGGTGGCGGTAGCAAAGCAGCATTTTTTAACTCCACCAACCTTACATTTCAGCGTTTCCCACAGAATTACATTCTTATTGTAGCGGTTCCTTGGTGGGCTGCTATTGCGCTGTTCATCTGACCTGTCCCTTCTGCACTAGCTCTCCCACAGCAGCATCTCTCTCTTCCTGATCCTCTATTGGTTGAAACCATTAAATATGTGAAATGAATCAGTTGGATCGCTAATCACACTGATTAATATTAAACCCCACAATTCTCTTTAACTTACAGAAACAATGCATTAACAGACATGAAATACGTGTGTGTTCTTTTAAACTTACTGTTAAGTCCCACCGAGTTGTGGAAACATCGCTCCCTTTCAAGTAGCTCCAAGGTCGGTAAATCCAGCCAATGGCCGCTGTGTCTTCCCCAGCACAACCACATACAGTCCAAAGTAGTGAAATTAATTCCAACAGGTAGCATACAGTGGATATAAAAAGTCTACACACCCCTGTTAAAATGCCAGGTTTCTGTGATGTAAAAAAACGAGACCAAGATAAATAATTCCAGAACTTTAGCCACCTTTAATGTGACCTATAACTTGTACAACTCAATTGAAAACAAACTGAAATCTGTTTTTCAGTGGGAAGTAAAAATAAAAAACTAAAATAATGTGGTTGCATTAGTGTGCACACCCTCTTACTGTGGGGCTGTGACTGTTGTCAGAATGAGGCAGTCACATTCAAACTCATGTTAAATAGGAGTCAGTACACCTGCCATCAATTAAAGTCCCTCTGATTAACCCCATATAAAGTTCAGCTGTTCCAGTAGGCTATTCCTGACATTTTCATAGTCGCATCCTACAGCAAAAGCCATGGTCCGCAGAGAACTTCCAAAGCATCAGAGGGATCTC